CCTCGGCCTCTTCCACGCCCCCGGCCCCGGCCCCTCCCCCTTCCGCGTCAACTCCGCCTCTCTGGCATCCCTATGTTGCTCGTTGTCTTTTCCAGGTAGGCCAGGGGCCCTTGCAGGGCGCTACTGCCCATACCGCCGACCGGGAACCCGGTAGCTCTGCCACCTACACCACCTTGTGCCATGAACATGCCCTGCTGATTGACTGGCACACCAACTCCCTGAAGACCTGATGTAGGCGGGCCACCAGAACCCTGTTGCACCTGCAAAGTCACATCAAATGAGGATGTATCGTGAGGACCGATACACAACGATGATGTTTCCCATGAGACATGTATGAATGCAGCAGGAAGATGCAGTACAGCGAAAATGATAAGCTTTCATTCAATGTTTATGTCTCTGATATATTAGGTGTTAAACTTAATTCCTGCCGTTTTTCGTCTCCAAAATTGATTTATTTCGAAGGGAAGATGAATGAATACTTCAATCAAAGTAATTTCCTCCATTTTCTACTTTATTACTAATTAATAATACTTTATTAATAATACTTTGATTAAGGTATTTCCCTTCGAAACAAATCAATTTTGGAGACGAAAAACGGCAGGAATTAAGTTTAACACCTAATAATATCATAGAAAAGAATTGTATGGATTACTCCATTATACTTTCGTAAAATAGCTATTTAATAATATGTCTCATATGCACGCATACGTTCAAAAAAATAGACACGCGCAGACAATGATCAAAGTCAGATTTAATTATCAGATTTTCGGGAATAACAACAAATAGGCGAGGAAAATAAAGGAAAGCACAATAATATTTCTTTCTTGTTTTTTTTTGCTATGAACAAAGATATTTATTCTGCCGCAACATCTACTTATGAGTCAAAACAACGTAAGTGAAATAGTATCTCCCAAATTGCAATAGCTATAATGCTTTTCTTATGAGTTATTTGCAAATTTAAGATTTAAATGCTCTATATTACCATTTATCATATATATTTGTGTAAAGAGAGAAAGAAAAGGGTGTACACCAGATGTATACAAGGTGTACACAATAAACCTTCGATATTTTTTAATGTTGAAAGAAATGCATACAGATACATATTCCTAGATATTTTGATTGTAAAGAACAAATAAAAGTTATTTACAAAAAATTATCAAACTTTTACATGAACATTTTAGTGACATGAAGGATACTGATTCCATCTCATGTTAAATGCGCTGCAATATGTCACAAATGTAATCACAATTTGATTGTGCAAAATATTCACGAGCGGCACCTTGGTGAAATAAACTAAAAAAGTTGTACTTAATATTTAACAGACTTGTAAGCTCCAACGACGGAGCTCCATTCTGTTAAAACATGATATTCGGATACAAGTGTGTAATTTGTGGAAACACAATTTTAACATGTTCAGATAATTGTTAGAGTGCACAGTGTTTTTACTGAGAAAGAAAAATGATCCGATATTTATGTTCTCTTTCATTGGAACTTACAAGTCAAAATGTTAAATATAACAAAATAAATGTTTTGCGCAATCGAATTGTGACTGCCATTGGCATCATGACTAATGACATGTTGCGGTACACTTGGAGTGAAAAGGAATTCCAACTCAAATTTCTTCGTATTACTAAAGACGCTCATATAAAGGTTTGGTAATTTTCTGTAAAAAACTTTTTGTTACTTTTTACAGTAAAAACAGAAATGTGTTCGTTTTTATTTTGCATTATTTCAAAATATCGAAAATTCATGTATACTCTGTATGACTTAATTCAAACATGTATTAAATTATTATTTATTAGATAAAGCTCGACAATAGTTATTTACAAGTAACAATGTTTTGCTACCTACTTTCATAATTAGAATGCAATTTACGTAACATTACTTGATGCGCATGCATACAATATCTACATGCAAAAAGTGAGCCTCTTATGTACATATGTATATTTTTTTCTGAATGAATACAAAAATATGACGCGAATAAATGTTACTCATAAGAAAAAAATATTTTTTTTAAATAGACTGAAAAAATTATATATTCATCTATATGTTTATAGTTTTTCATTACGTTTCTATATAAATATCTAATTTTCAAATAATTATTTTTTAATGTAGATCTTTCTTACGAAATGATGTCAGATGTAAAGGTGATCACTAGGTCCTATTAATATGAAGTATATCAATTATGAATACTCCTAAATTTTATTCTTGCCATTAACAGATTTATTACATATTGTTTCGTCTTTTTTTTTTACTAAGTATTTGTACATTATCGTTTATTATTTTGGCACCGTTCTACAATAGTTTGTACATACAGTTAATTTCATTTTCCTAATTAAAATTTCTGTTTTCGTATATACTTTTATGTCATAGTTAATTATAAGAAAAATTAAAAGCAATTTAATTTATTAATCTCTCTTGTACAATATATTTCTTTGTCGTGTAGAAATTGTATAAGGCACTGATATTACACACAGCATTATAATTATCACGTGTACAGTGCGGAGCATTAATTCGCTGGGTCATAATAGTGGCTTGACTTATCGACGCTGAGTCGGTAACGCTTAAAGCGCGTGCGCTTGAAATAAGAAGAGTCACTGATAAACTGTGTGGAAATTTATTGCATTTTTTTCCTGTTGCGTATAAAATTATATATTCCTGCAGAAATGCATGAATTATATCTGCGTTTATGTTTACACTGTTCTTTATATCTATATAAATTTATGATTCATGTGTTATATATTATAAATTATATATTGCGCAAATAAGTATACATATAACATAAGGGAGATAAACATATATAAAGAAATGTAAAAGATAAAAGAATGAATTATTTATTAAAATAAAAAATTATGATCTTTTTAAGAAGTTATTCTTTTCGTTGGTAATAAATTATCTCGCAATACATTATTAGCATAATATTATTATCAAGAAAAATAATTACTTCAAAAATTTTATAATATTATATAATATTTATATGATTAATTCAAAAATATATAATAATAAATGTTTATGAATATTTATCATAAATATTCTGTGCTGGGTTATCTTTGATTTTTAAATATATATTTATCTCCGTTATACTATATGTATACTTATTTGCGCAATATATAATTTATAATATGTAACATATTATAAATCATAAATATATAATTATACAATTTTATATGCAATAGGAAAAAAAACGCAATAATTTCCTCACAGTAATTGTCAGTAACTTTTCTTATTTCAAGCGCGCGCGCGTTACCGACTCAGCGCCGATAAGTCAAGCCACTACTATGACCCAGTGAATTAATGTTCCGCACTGTACGTAGTGAAACTGTTTCGTCTCCTCAGCGATTATTTAAAAAAAAATTATCTAACGTTTTAAAGTGAGTAGTTTCAGGGTGTGGTCCACTTGGCGCTACAAATATTTTGAAGCGTTTGATTGACCAATTGGAAGAAAGAATTTTACTAATTAACCAATCAGAAAATGTTTCGAAGCATTTGTAGCATCATGGACCGTTAAACCTCAGTCGTTAAAACTGCGTTCGGGGAGCGCGCTATCAACGCTATTTGTGTCATACTATTCTTGTTTCACGTTTAATGGACGATGAAGATAGAATGACACAAATAGTGCTAATAGCTCTCCGAACCCAGCCACAGTGTGCTCAATTTGGGCAAACCATGCCTCTTTTGCGAGTCAAAGTATCGTTCGTGTATATATATATATACAATTATAGGACATATAAATCTTACAAATATTTTTATAATTTACATATTAAAAAATTCTGAATTTTTCGAATTTCTGTATCATTTTATAACTGTTTAGAAAATATCTCAAATTTTTTTATATGTATTTTATGTACAATATTTCAGAATTTATATATATATGAAAAATTCTATAAAAAAGTATAGATATTTTGAGTATATATTTCTGAAATGTTTTTCAATTCTTATTATAGCTTCTACTCATTCCAACGTGTTAGAGTAGGAGCTAGAGTAGGAGCATGCGATGCGGACAAACGTTGGTAGTATTAAGTAGCACATGATAAAAAGAGACCGAACCTAAATAAAGTTCATGTGACGAAGACAACAACTAAGATTGGCTAAACTGGATTTACGAACGATCACTGTGTAAAAGAGAGGGCAGAGAATTAGAGAGAGAGACGCTTACAAACTGAGCACACCATGTAATCCTTCCACCATGGTCAAAAAGAAAGAAAGAATATGTGTTCACCCAGTAACATAATATGATTCTGATATAAATATTATTCTTCACACATGCATTTTCTTTCGCACAGACGTACTCACACATATAAACAGTCAAGCATCTCAGATACGAATAACAGAAATTCTTCTATTTATATGTACATGTCATGATGTCACAGTCAAAGTGTTAAGTGTTAACTTTAGTAAATGTATATCCGGCCTATATCCTATTTTAGCTCCAAAGACAAAATGCAAAACCATCGACGCAAAAAATTCAATGTAAGTAAGATCTTGTAAAGTGTTGATAAGCGTTGCTCAGATGCATGTTTAACACTTTGCATTTCTCGATTTCTCAAAATCTTACCCACATTGAATTTTTTACGTTAATGACTTTGCATTTTCACTCCAAAGCTACAATTGGATAGGCCTGATGTATACATTGACTACAGCAGACTACAGTAAATATATAGATTTCATGAGTTAACACTTTGACTATGACATAAAAAAATGCATATAAATGTATACAAATATATGCATTGTAATATATACACTGTCTATATTATAATTATATAATAAATATAATTATGATATATATTATTATAAAAAAGCCAGAGAGTCTCTCTCTCTCCTGTATATAAATATGACTGCATAATGTACAAGAACAGATTTAACATTAAAACCTTGTTAAAAAAAGAAATAAATTATGTGAACAATTTAGATTACACGAAAAAGTGCTTGTGGACTAAGTCATAGGAAATTCTATATTATAATCTTCATTTATATATATAATCTTCATTATAGTTTCACTCTTCAATCGTACTATCAATCGCTTCTTTCTCACACACTTTTTCTTCTTTACTTTCCTTTTAATTATTAAAAAAGCGTACGTTCAATATCAAATTTAACAACAATCTACCTGAAGAATAGGAAAATTTTAACTTTGGTGTCACTTAAATACCTGTGGTTGCAACGGATGTTGCATTTGTTGCTGCAATTGTTGCTGCAATTGTGGATGCTGCTGCTGCTGCTGTTGCTGCTGCTGTAATTGCTGTTGTAATTGCTGCTGATGTTGTAGTATTTGCTGTTGTTGCTGCATTGCAGCATTACCACTGCCACTTGTAGCCTGCTGATTCTGCCCGCTTTGATTTCCATTGGGTAATCCTATCGGCATTAATATCAGTGTTATTACTTATTGAATCTGTTGTAATTATTATTAAATTAGTTTCATATTACCACTGGGAGCTGGGCCTTGAGCAGGTGACTGCGCCCATCCCTGCAAATCCGACAACATATTCTGCCAAACAGCAATCTTGTCATTATGTCTTTTTATCAATTCTTCTTTACGAGCCAACTCCAGTTTCAGCTCGTTGATTTCTTCCTTAACCAACATCTCGGGTTTCAGCGCAGATAAGAGAAATCTCTTTTGTAAAAAAAAAGCTTCCATCTGCCTGGCCAGATCTATAAATCTCATAGTAGCCTGTTCTATTTCCGCGCGACCTTCGTCTTTATCCACTGTCAAACCACCAGACGCACCGGTTCCACTGTTGCCCAATCCCTCGTCTTTTGTCAATATACTTAAACATTGCTGAAAAAAACAATATTTGACATTCAATAACATAATTTGTTTTGACATTCCAAAATATTTCAGCAGTGTTAAATGTTTGGAAACAAACTTAGGCCCTGTTTCACAATATATGGTTACTTAAAGATTAAAGGTAACCAAGAAATTCATGAATGAATTTCATTGATAAACCTGTTGATAACCTTTAATCTATAGGTAACCATATATTGTGAAAACGGGCTTTAGAATTGAATAACAGTGAAAACTAAAAGAAATTCATATACAGAGTGACCCAGAATAACATATATATTATTTCAGATAAAAATACAATTTCTACTTAAATATTTCTTTGTAATGATAATAATGACATTAACATATGCCAACAATAGAGCAATTTATCGTGACAATTCTACTTCGAGTTTTACATTCGAGGTATGCCACTTTTACAAAGAAATGCCATCATCGGCAAAACATTCCTCGATTATATTGACACGAATAATAATACGCGGTACATTCGATTAACAGTAATACGGAGTAATGTAAAATGCCCGTTCTACCTGAAATGATTCTTCGAACTCGTCGACGAGGTTACCGCCGCTGTTGGTCGGCGTCGCCATTACGGTATTATATGTTCTGTGGTGTTATATGTTATATCCGCGCGGAACTGCGCGCGAAAATAATCACCACGACTCCGTTATCACGATTGATTACCTTGATCTCGCGGGAATGCGCGAATTTTTCCCGCACGCAACATACAACCCCTTCCCGCCGATATTTGTCACGATCATCTGCCATACCGCCATGACGATTCAGACTGGCGTTCCATGAGCGCAAATTTACAGCGGAACGGAACAGCGCGACCAATCACAAACTCTACAGTCATTGTCAGTCATTACTCTGCTTTCTTTTCTGCAATTGTGATTGGTCTCGCTGTTCCGTTTCGCTGTAAATTTCCGCTTATGGGACGCCCAGCCTCAGACCATCTATGATGAAGACAGCTGATGGCGCTTATTACTCCATCTTGCTCCAGTTTTCCTCCTTTTCTCTTCACGATGATAGGGAAAAGGAGGAAAGGTAAACAATGAAAGAGGTTCAGTTGAAAAGAATGAACTTAGCATTAGTACTGTCCAAAGACATAGAGAATGAACTGCGCGATCCGTATCTAAGTAATGTATCAAATGTGGTCTACAATAATGAGAGAGAGGGACCGTGAGAGACGGCCAATCTCCCTTTCATTCTCTCTCCCATTACACCATTGAATGGAAAGAGATAGAAATTGCTGTCTGCCACGGTCCCTCTCTCTCATCCTTATCGACTATTTTGACACACGGATCGCGCAGTCAATTCTCTATGTCTTTGATACTGTCTTCAATATATATGATCTTACGATGTTATTAGTAACTTAAAATCACAGTGTAAGAATTGGTAATATTCTTACATCTTGCTTCAAACGATCTTAAAATAACCTATAGCCGATATTTATGGTATATATTTATATATCCTTATTTTAAGGACGTCCTGAGTGATGTCTTAAGATGCTAATATAGCCCTTTGATTGGCTTATAAAACGTCTTAAGACTGTACTTAAAATAATTCCAAACATATATAAGAACTGTATAGGTGTTTTCTATTTGATGATACAAATCGACAAAAGTGTCTTTCTATCTTTGTTACTTTCTAAATAGATCAAGAAAGATTGAATGACGTGATTTGTGTCATTGAATGGAAAGCACTCTATAAATACTGGCCTATGACTATGTGTGGACCAGCCTTTATATATATACATTTGTCCACGTAATCCTAAAAGCACTGAAGTAGTATAGCAATATGATCCATCTAATACTATTTCGTTATTTCATGTTCATGATTTCGCGAATTTTTCCCAGATTTACTGATTCTTGCCGATTCTGCTGATCTTGAGGCACATAAGACTGAACAAGGTTGAATAAACTACGAATATATATATATATAAATCAGGGATTTTCGAATATTTTATTCGGTGGTGAGTATTCGGAAATTGTCTAAATCATATGTTAATTGCTGAAAATGAAAGTCAACAATTACAATTTGCATATATATTATGAATTTCGAAAGTTCTAATCTTACTCTCATTTTCTTCTATTCTAAACAGATGTTTTTGCACTTAAAATTCTCCCCTCCCTAAGCTATTCTATTCATATAATAACATTAGAGTGAAATGATACATATATACATATATTTTTGCTAATTTTAGGATAGAAAATTTAGAATAAAGAATATTTGAGGAGCAAACTTCCAAAATGCATTTTGTTCAAAATTTCATTTTTTTTTAAATTAGAGATGACATAGTGTTCAGTGTCGAAAGGACTCATATTAGTAAGCTACTCTACGATGTTCTGAAAGTATTTTTTCACCATCAATTTATGTGCTGAAAAAAGTCTAGACATTCAAAATACATTATTCTTTTAACTTAAGACAAATAGAATGCATTTGTTTAACATTGCATATTAGAAATAGTTTAGCAATTTTGTTTAACATTTTATATCTTACTGATTAGCAAATTGTTATTTTCTGTAAAGTGTATGGTTTTCTTATGGTTTTCTTTCTCGTTTTCTGAAAATTATAAATTTTAGACAAAATGCATTTTAAAAGTCTACTCCTTATTTAGAATGAATGACTTTAGAATAAAGAATTTTTTTAATATAGAGAAAATCAATTATAATGGACCTCTCAGAAACATCAAATCAAATTGATTAGCTCTATGGAATAGAGGAAGTAGAAAAAAAATTAATAAAATCACACACACACACACACACACAAATTAATATGTTAAAATTAAAAAATTTACTGAAAGTAGAATTCATCAGCTTGACTTCTAAGGTCCGTTTCCACCAACGCAGATCAACTTTAATCTCGGTTCAACTTAATCTTTGTCTTTTTCTAGTTCTAAATATTAGAAAAAGACGAAGAGTAAGTTGAACCGAGATTAAAATTAATCTATATTGGTAGAAATGGGCATAAGAGGTTCAAATATTTAATTTGATTGGATCAAATGCTGTATATAATTGTATTTGATTCACACATATAAATTATATAAAATTTTAACATAACCGGCTTTAAGAATAAAGCAAATTATAGGATAAAAGAGCATAAACGCCAATGCTAGATTTTATTGTGAATTAAAACATAAATATTCGTTTATTGTTGTATTTTGCAATGTGATATAAAATATATTATATATTTTATATCACATTGTGAAATACAATATAACAATAAATAAATGTTTATAATGTTTTAATTTGCAATAAAATGTAGCGTTGGCGTTTATGCTTTTTTATACTATAATTTGCATTTGTTTCATATAAGATTTAGATACGTGATATTCAAACAACATAAAATTCATTAATTTCTTGAGATAGTATTGTAAGTACAACAATGTTTTCTCAAGCCTAAGTGTGTTGACCGTCGTTTACGGGATGGACAGTCAGGTATGTGGAGACGGCAGGTTGATAGATGTGATCGACGAGGGTTGGCGCAAGGAACGTCTGCCCATTGATGACATCTCGACGCCAGTAGCTGAGCTGCCTGATCCTGAAAGCGACAACGGCGATTCTCATATGACGTTGAAGGAGTTGGAGCAGAAGTGGAATAATCTGGCATTAAGCTCTCTCAGCGACAATCATCTACATTCTCCAACACCACTGCACAACTAGATATAGTTTTCAGTTTCCTTAATTGCCAGAAAACACAATAAAGTCGATTATAATTTTGATTTGTTGCTGCATCACAATGGAATTTCCGGAAACTGGTAAACACTGCTCAGTGAAAGACTGCAAATTATTGGACTTCTTGCCACTTGTGTGTGAGCATTGTCAGGCCACTTTCTGTAAAGAGCATTTCAATATGGAATCGCATGAGTGTTTGAAAACAGAGAACTCAAAATCTGTTGTGGAACAATCGGCAAACTTTCTATGCTCTAAAGAGTTTTGCAAAGATGCATCACTCGTTGAGATGCCTTGTATCAAGTGTAAAAAGCATTTTTGTGTAAAACATAGACATCACGGATGCTGTTCACGGTTGGAGTTGAGTGAAACAGAGAAGACACAGAAACTGAAGAAGTGGCAGATACCAAAGAAACAGTTTGCGGAAGCAAAAGCTATAGTAGATCAACAGATTGCGGACAGTTTGAAGAAATCTAAAAATGTAGCATTGGCAAATAAAGTATGTTACTTTTATGAACTAAAAATACTTCTATATAATAGAAGTATGAACGCAAATAAATTCTTCTTCTAATAAATTCAATCCTCCTTTGCTTGCAGGTACAACTCATGCGTGTGAAATGTTCTGCGATTGGTCCTAAAAATGTACCAACGAGCGAGAGAAGTTACTTTCTTGTATATTTGCCATTGACAGTAGAAAATAAACATATAGGCACTTCGAAAGGGGCTTTTGTCAATACGAACTGGACGATTGGCAAGTGCATAGATTCAATAGCGGACACACTTAAAGTTCCCAACTATAATAACACACCTACCACAAATAAGTTAAAACTCTTTCGTCATTCTACCGGAGATCTAATATGTAGCAAGATGGATACACCTTTAACACAATTATTTGAAGATTTGGCTATTTTTGATGGAGAGCGAGTTATTTTAGAATATTCTCTTAATGTACCTTATAATGTAATAGATTCATCTTTATATAAATAAGTATTATATATATATATATATATATTATACTTTTGTTGTAATTAAATTTGAAATTCAATTTGAAAATAACAGGTAATAATCCACTAACTGCACAACTATCGAAATACAGTGTACTTTATGCTACTTATGATATATAGGATTTTATATGATTTGGATTTTTCGTATAATTTGATATATCCATAATAGCTAAAAAACACAGCTCTTAGAATAATACTTGTTTATTACAAACTAGAAGGTTTTATATCAGTTTTACATTTATTCTTGACAAAGAGACACTTAAATGCGTTAAATAAACCATTTATACCAGATTATTGTCAGATTTGTTTAAAATAAAAGAGTAACGATATTCTGACTTTGGCACTGGACGTTTGTCTCATACATATGAGTTACGCTAATGCAGCAACAGAGAAGTATAAATTAGTTATATATTCAAATAATTGTGCGCTCATTCATAGTTTCATAATACAAATATGGCATCGCATACACTACAAGTGAATGAGAATTACCATTAATAATTATCAGTATCGTAAGTTCAACAGTGCACGTACATTCACTTATTTATAGGATAACAATATGTTTGTAAATATTAATTACAAAAGAAAAAGAAGTAAAAATTGCTTATATATGTATTATCTTAATAATTAAATGCATTTAATGCTTAATAATATAGAAAAAGAAATACAATTCGATAATTTGATTTATACCTAGCTAGTAGAGCAAATTAATTTCTCAAGATTAATTTACAAGATGATATTCACATCTAATCTCAAATTCATTATGTTCTAACTTACATATTTTAATGGAAGTAACGTATGCGTGAAAATGTGTATACGACTATCGATGTTATCTGAATTCTCATATAATTCTACTAATGTAGTTTAATCTCGGTTTAACTAACTCTTCATCTTTTTTTAGTTTTAAGAGTTAAAAAAGGTACAAACTAAATTAAACCAAGATTAAAGTTAATCTACATTAATAGAAATGAGCCATCGGTCCCGAAATACAACGGATGCTTTCCAATTGCTTAACACATCTTAACACAAACGTACACAGGAATGTACAAAGTGTAACGTTGTTCGCGATTCAATTGGAACAGAATGGGTACTTTCCATTTGATACAAGTCGACACAAACATCCTCTCTCTCTTGTTGACATTCAGAGAATGACAAAGATAGAACGATACTTGTGTCGATTTGTGTCATCAAATGGAAAGCACCCAATGTGTACGCTGTGCACAGTTGAAATCCGTTTCGGATAGAGTTAGATTAAATGTAGTTTTTTTCGCCTATATTAAACAAAAAAAAATAAGAGCGCCGGCCACTCAACGTCTTCCAACCTTATTTATAGCCGTTGCAGTTAGTAACATGTAATTGTCACTAGAAAACACAAGCTTACACGGTCCTCGACTGAGTACAGATGTGTAGTGTTGTGTCGACGATAACGGACAATTGGAACACAACTTGTATCGCCGTGTGCACAAAAGTGTCTAGGGATATTGCAATTGGAAAGCACCCAATAGGTATAGCAAATTTTAAACCGAAAAAAAAAAACAAATTATAATCGATAATTTTCTTCATATTCGACTGTGATTGAACGATATCTTACGACTTAAAGTTTACTACACCTATTGTGCTTCGGGATTTATGAAATAAGCTATGTCACTTGTTAGGCCCGGATTTTCATTTTCTGGTTAACTTATGGTTAGACTATATTTACTGGATCTTATCTATGATGATGAAGTCATGGGTGAAACATCAGATTAAGCCTAACCACACCAAATAATGAAAAATTGGGCCTTAATAGTAGTACATCAATATTACCATTAAAACAACTTTGTGTCAATGTGCTGAAAATGATGGAATTGTACACTGTAACGAACTATCTCACGCTAGAAAGACAAGATGATATCAGATCTGAATATCTTAATTTAAGCAAATTGCCTCTATATATTGCACAAAGTACATTGAAATTGTGGTAAAAAGAAAAGAAATGCAAATTTAAAAATTGGCTCGTGGAAGAAATAACATTCGAGAAACGAATATTATCATGAAATCCAGCGATTTTTCTATAACATTATTATGTAACTAATGCAATGTAATGTAACACATTGTAACATGTTCATGAAATACATATTACAAAATTTATCATGGAATTAAATATCTCTCTCACTTTTGTCTTTAATTCGAGTTACCAGTCGCATGTTATCAGACAAATGCATTAATCGTGTCCCGTGCAACATTCACAAGAACATGATCGCACGTAACTCACCGATGCAAGCGCAAGCATTTGAGTCATGCAATTAACTACACAAGATAAGCGAGAAGGTATGTTTTCCTGAGAATTAAAAAAAAAGAGCTTTTGTAAACGCACAGGACACCATTTCTGCACCCGCATGTGTACATATCTTTATGCAAGATTTTTATCGATGCCTCTTATCACGAACGTATTCTCTAGCGTACGAAGGCTTGTCGACCGCCGATGACGTATTATCCTTTACTCACGTACATGTGAAAGAAATTCTTGAAATAAAGAACGAGTTTGATGAGGGACAAAATGCACAGTATGTATAAAGAGATCGCGAAAAGGACGAGCAATGCCATTCGCGCGTTTATATTTGTCTCTGTGTCCTGCGAACCGCGCGATCGTCCGCCACTGGCCACCTGCCTATTGGCCGCAGAATGTATCTGGTAACGGTAGGTGGCCTGAAGTCAAGCTCAGGAATGCCAGCGGGACTTCTGCAGCTCGATCTGACCCTCCAGCGTTTTTGCAAGGTAGATCACAAAGAGCTGGCTGAGCGCAATGCCTAGAGCAATGCCAGCTATAGTGTAAAGATTACGTTCCGCCCAGCTACGTACAATCTCGATACATCCACTGGTCCACACCTTTTTACTCGCTTCTGACACTGGTAACATCTGGACCTTGTAGCCGCACATTATATTTACAAGTCCGCTCTGAAAATTGAAAATATCTCAATTGTAAATTTCTCATTAAGTTCTTTACAATGTTTTAAGATGATTATTAGCATTATTATTAATTGACGCTCAATTTAATTGTAATATTATTTCAACTTCAGTTTATGATTGCATTTCGACTAACCAACGATAATAATTAGCGCACAATTTAAATAATGGAAAGATATATTTAAAATTTATATAAATATTAGGCATCAAATTTAACCTTGATTCTTCTTTTGATTTATCTCAGCAATGAATATAATTGAAAATATCTTTCCAAGAGAGAGAGAGAGAGATTAAATATCTTTCAATTATCTTTGGCTTTCTATATATAAGTGCGACAAATAATATACGTACGGATATATCAGTAGCGTTTATGCAACAAGAGAACGGTACACCACAACGTTCTACACTAGGGCTGGTGCAATTAAAATATTCATTCTTTCCCCAATCTAAGTATCCTTCTTGACTTAAACCACAACACTTGAACTGCAATATAAAATTTTATGAATATTTCACTTGCGTGTACGAAATTGAATAACTTGTACAAATGTAAGAGACATGTGTTTTTATTATTATTAATTATTTTATTTGTGATCTTTACTTCTTGTTGGCCAAAATCGATGAAATTTTGCAGATCTGGATCTTCTCTGTACGTCTGAATTATTTTGTCCGTGAACGACTCTTCCAAAAGAGACTGTAATGTGTGAGGGAATACAAAACCAACGATCGCCACCCCCATCTCCAAAAGGAAGAACACCAAAAGACATAACGAGTACTAAAAAAATCATTCGATCAGTCAATCATGTGTTTTGCACCGCACTTGTAGAAAATATTCTGTACACGAAAAACTAACAAATTTAAGAAGGCATGTATTTTCACGAAGGGCTCCTACGCATCCTGCAAAACTAACAACAAAGACTACTCCGCCAGCTATCAGCATCACCAGAGAAATGTTCAAGACTACATCGTAGACGTTCTCTACCCTGACAGATCCAGTTGCCTGCCATTTATCCACAAATGCATAGAGACCTACGCCGATTAGCAGTCCACCAAACAGCTAAGCATAAAGAAAATTATTTTTGCCTCCCATCGTCATATATGACATCATTTCTATATTATCTTTAACTTTTGTTCTACTTCCTCTAGACATGATGTTGACTGATATCCAAATTTAGCTGGGTTACTGATGTTAGTAGATTCGAAATCAACACAAACATGTTTTTCCCAGCTTTTTTTTCAAGACACAGTTGACACAAATGGCATTCTATCATTCTTGACATTCATAAATAAAGCCTAATCTATAATTTGCTTTTTGGGCTTTCTGTTCTTTGCTTTTTTTTTTGCCTCATATCCTGTTTCTTCGTAATCTATAATGTACACTTTGCTTCCTTTTTTCTTTCCTTTTAGTTATTGTCATTTTCCTCTTTGCGACTGTTCCATTGACAATCGTACTTCTTGTCATGTGTTTCTTATCTCCTTTGAAGTTTGTCATTTTGTCACGAGAAAAGACGAAGAAATAAAATAAAAGGCAAAAGTAATAAAAAGTAATAAAAAAAGGAAGCAAAGAAAATATTGTAGTAAACTTAAAAGTTGACGAACTTGGGAAGAGACAAAATACACATTGCAAGAAACGTGATTATCGATAAAACGATCGCAAAGAGGAAAAAAGAAGTAGAAAACAAAAACACATTGTAAATTAGACTCAAAAAAGACAGAACGACTATGTCAACTGAATCTCTTAAAAGGAAAGCAGCCTATATCTTGTCTTAGAACAAATCGCGAATTTCATTTGCGTGTATGCAGCATAGAAAGAAAAGCAGAAGAACGAATCGCTCACCCAAAAGACGAAATTCAGCATGAAGATCATGTACTTCACGCACGAACTAACGTACGTGAAATTGTTGCTACGTCTGCGATGATTCATCATTGTGTGGCGGTGAGTATACGACGAATCTCACAAAACGATTGGTGTCTCCGAGGAGAACTCTCGGCACAGCGTAATTTGAACGTTCGTTTCACTCGTCTCCACTCACGGCGATGAGAGACAATTTGTATCGACACATACTTTATCAGTTTCTACCCTTTCCGCCATTACGAACGTTTCTCGTGGTTTTCCCAGGAATCCCAGGTTTCTTAAATTCACGTTTCTACGTTCCTGCGTTCCGTCGCGCAAAAGTTCGAAATCAGCTGTCCGGTCCACGTTTCGCGAGGATACATAGGTCTGTTCGCGTTGCTCGTACTTTTGCACTCAGTGGATGCATTCAGGCTGTGTTCCAAATTGACTGCCAGCACTGAAAATGCTACAGTTTACGTTGCGTGTACTATAGATTTTCAGTACTGGCAGTCAATTTTGGAA